AATTCAGATATAGTTCAAATTAAATCCTGTTCGCCTGTGTGAAAATTCAATCTGGAAACCACTTCTACACCAGCGCAATTTTGCCAACCATCATCGATGTTTATTTTTTACTCATTGTTTGAAGTAAGGAGCACTAGGGAGGTTAAAACTTTTTATTCCATGCAATTCCATATACATATTTCCATTTGCCTGCTATGAAAGGCAGGTCACGATACATAATTATGATTGATTGATTGATTGTTTGTTGGTTTATGTCCCATTCGAGAATTTTTCACTCATATAGAGACGTCACCATATACCGGTGAAGATTTCAAATTTTGACTTTTACTCGGCACTCAGGGTTAGTGAGCAGTGAGGGATCTTTATCGTGCCAACGCCTGCCGTGATACTGGGCCTCGGTTTTTAAGGTTTCATCCGAAGTACCCTCAACTTTCACTTCAAAGTGCAGAGCGCATGGCGAAGGAACAGTTGCTACCCATTTTTATTGTCTTAGATCAGTCGCGGCCGAGATCATAACTCACGACCTTCCGGTCACGAAGTGAGCGCTCTACTGACTGAGCTACCTCGAACGGTCGATACATAATTAGTCAGCGCACGGGCTGACTATTTACGTTGGCGTGAGACTGCAAGTGCGCTTGCGTAATTTGGAATTCTCGGAAAAAGATTGACAGGACTTGTTCTAAAGAAAGACTTCTTTTTTACTTCAACCAGAGGATGTGCTTCTTCACGCACACTCATTGAATAAAGACGTGGCCTCGATCTATTTAAAGACTGCATTGTTCGTCGTAGAAGATGAAAAGTTTATATGTAGAGGACATGTAACACTTGATATCTATACCCCTCAATCGACGTTCCAGTCACGGATTTGTGAGTTTTCTTCTGGATGCCTGATGCAAGACTCCTTTGATAAATATACCTTGCATAAGACATGTACGCAGGTGAATTCACACAATAATCCACTTGCCACAAAGGTCCCAAATACAGTAAAAAAGAATCACTTTCATTTAAATTAAAAGTTATGCAAACATCAGAAGATCACTGTAAGACAGTAAATTCTTTTAATTAACACTGATGACAGACGTGAAAGTCCCGCGTGTGCACGTGATTCGCTCACACAGGTGAGAAAATACCACAGTAGAACTGCAAGAACTAGTTAAGAGATTCACGCGTAAAAGAAACTGCGCGAATTTAAATGCAGGGTCCCCGAATGAGAGAGAGAGAGAGAGAGAGAGAGAGAGAGAGAGGTATGGAATTCAGTATGTTAATCTAGTTTTGCTTTGATGGTAGATATCATCAGTTACATTTAATGGTATACGTCCTGCATGTATAAAATTACCAGTTTAATTTCCAGTTTAAATTGTTTTCAATGGTCTTCATTACTTTATTTATCTTTCCTAATAACTAAAATGGATGCTTAGATTTGGAAACTGATTTACTCAAATGAACATTCAGTATGTCTCCCCCCCCCCCAAAAAAAAAAAAAAAAAAAAAACAAACAAACAAATAAAGAAACAAACAAAACAAAAAAAAAAACAAAAAAAAAAAACAAAACAAACAAAAAAAAAAAAAAAAAAAAAAAAAAAAAAAAAAAACAAAACAAACAAACAAAAAGCATGCATTTCCTCAAACCTGAACGATCAAAACTTTTTTTGAATAATAATTCTACAAATCTGACCCCAAATCAACCTTCCTTTTATGTATCATTATCTATAGCATTTAAAGAATTACAGAAAAAAATGAAATATATGAAGAAATGCTGTTCATTCCGCTCATTTACATATCAGCCATATTGGATCTTTAATGGCGACAGATTCCAAATAGGTTTATATAGAGAAGGGACGATAAATCGCAAATTCTTATATGCAGACTATTTCGGAGAAAGTTCTTCCACCGATTTTTTATTCTTCTGAATATATTTCACTAGAAATGATAATATTCTTGATGCCGAAATGAAAGTTGCGACCGCCCTTATGATTTAAAAATTCAAAGCGAGAACAAAATATTTTATTGAAGAAAAGAGCACAGATTAGTGTCTTAGGCATTTTTGGTGATAAGATATACATGTAACTGTTTGTTGCAAGTTGACAGAATTCTTCCGCTGACTAATAATTACAAACAAATGCCTTTTCTATAAACTACAAATGATTTATCATTTTATGAAAATTTTACGAACGCTTTTTTATTTTGAGAAGGCAATTTCTTGCATCATGTGACATACATGTACTTATTATTAAAAAGATGGTTTAAATTTATGAGCTGTCAACTGTTAATTACACAAAATTCTACCCACATACATGTAACCATGACAGAAGCTACAAAAACAAACAAACAAACAAACGCGACTTGCAGGTTTTGAAATAAAAAAAGATTAAAGAAATAGAATATTTCGAGTTTATGCAGGGTCTTATATTAATGAGAAGTAAATCACGCGGGAGCATTCTCATGAATTAACTGAACATCATTTCTCCATATGATGTGTACATTTGTCAATCTTCAATGATTTGGATCTTAGTGGCTTTGTTCAATTCTAAAACGAACATCATTTGATGACCGCGACCAAGAGAAATTATTTGGAGGTCAACATAATGATCTTGATGCAGTCTAACTAAAATTTATTCTATGCTTTATTATTATTATGTACAACATAAAGTTACAAATAAGAAAACAATAAGGTGAATTTAACTTACATTACAATTACTTTTAAAGACTTCAACATGATGGATAAAACAAATCACATACCATCACAAAACGAGAAACTTTCTGTATCCAGTGGCTGATTCTCATCTTTTTTTTTAAAAGCTAACCTTGTTTCGCGCCAAGCTTCACGAGTAAAACATGGACCTTTTCTTTGGGATCTAAGTTCTATTGAATGGGTGTGATAGCTTCCATGAAATTAAAAAGGAGTATGTTCTTATTGCCTGAATTTCGAGCTGTAGAAAGTTTATTTATTACATAGTACACATAATATATCGTATGTGGGCAAGAAACATTAAATCAATGAATTCGCTAAGATTTTTTGCATATTTTTTTTCCTGTTTACCCCTAAAGTGGACTATCCCGATTTGATATTCATTCATGAAAAGACTGGAGTGTTTCCTCGAAAAACATACCTCACCATACGACGGTCAAGGAATCTGAAAAAAAAGGGGACTTAAAAAATTCAGATACATTAGAGATTGAACCCGGATCTTCTGCGTGACAATCCAACGGTTCCTTCACATTTCATTGATTTTATAGTAGTATGACTGTAAAAACATTAACTGTGAATTTTATATAATAAGCTTTTAAATTTAAAGAGATGTGAAATATTTTGTAGTTAAGAAGAAAAATTAAATGTAATATCATCAAGATGAAAAAATATCTGGCAAGCATCAAACTCTAAACCTATGATACACTGTAAAACAAGTGAATGCTTTAAACCACTGTGCTTAAATTATGATGAAGATGCATATACGATATGTACCATGATGTACCATCATGGAATTTTCCAAGCGCAATGGAAAATGAAATCGAAATAATTGCATTTATCACCATAATATGAGAAATGCTTTTAAAACCAGTGCAAGGGCGATTACTCATGTGTTCTTGGTAGTGGTTAAACATTCTCGAGACTGTGAATTTTAAATAGATTACGCACCTGATGACCCTGATTTTCATAATCTACCGTAAAGGCTAGAAGAGCAGACATGTTGCAAATTTTACCCACCCACCCACACTTCCCTAAAACATGTGTACAGATTTTTGCTGCTTTCTCTTCTGTAATTTCAGTGACAGAAAGCCTATGCTTATATCGAAAGAGATATGTATGTGGAACACCCTAGCGGTTGGACTCATTTGCAAAGGAAGGATGTGGTCATTGTATATGGTGGGACCATTTATATTTATTGGACATTTTCTGTTTAAATGCAACGATTCAATCCTGAATGCTATTGGACTTTTCTATGGTGTGAAACATAAACAGTACTTCAGTGGCATGGTGATCATTGATGATTTATGTTTACGTACAGTCTTACTTTTAAAAAATACCGGAAGCAAGTATAGCTTGCAAACAAATATTGAAATTTTCTAGATTTGGGATAATGGTAAAGTTTCTTAAGTCACAATCTGGAATGGGGGCGGCGGAATTCGGGGATTACCACGAATGAAGGATTCTCTCATGTCTGGCTCAAAACTCTGGGTAATCTATCCGCAGTACTGGGGAGAATTAATTTGGGGTTACCTCAGCGGTACCTGAGGGACCAGCTTGATCTTTGGGTTACCAAAGGCAAGTTTTGGGGCCTACCCTTGGGGGTATTGTCCCCATGTAGTTGTTGTATTCAAGGGACGCAGGTATAGAGTTAGGGCCCGAGACAGAACTTGAATGTATTTTTTTAATGTGGCACTCACTCTTGTTGGTACCAAGAAGTCTGTTCCTACTACAGTCACCTGTGGGGGTGCTTTCGCGCTAAGGATCTAGAGGTCATCTTGGTAGGCAGGTAGTGATTCCCTGGGCTCCGCCGGGGTATTTACATATGTGTATAAGTAGATTGTGACAAATAGTTGCCATTAAATGTAAATGTTGTTTCATAATAAATGTGATTAAAATTAATTTCTGTTACTAGTCATTGCATCTCGGATTAAAAAATAAATCCTATTCTATCACGTCTTAATTATAATTATACACAATGAAAAATAATATGTTCTACAGTAATATAACACAATATATATGAACAACACATCCAATGTTAAATTAATAATATAATCACATAGATACAATCTAAAAATTTGAGTTGGTCATTGGTCTATTATAAATTTTCTCGTCTTGCTTCTAAATGTTGAAGTGTTGGAGACATATAAAGGTAAATTGTTCCGCAGTACTGCACCCGAATATTGAAAAGAATTTTGAAATATTTCAGATTTGTCTTTTGGAACACACAAGTCAAATTGAGATTCAAACCTCAAATAGTAAGAATAGGTTGATTTATCTTCATGAAAAAAAAAAATCACATACATGTAAATGTAAGCAGACCAAATTTCTTCTAAAATAAGGTACAAACTCAAACACTATCACTTCACGCTAAAGTGCATCGTCATAAATTGATTGTTGATCTAGATCTTCGTAAACTACACTTTCTTCTGCATCATCAATGATCTTTGGATCAGGATTTGTAGGTTTTACTGACAATTGTACTGCACAATTCTCTTGGATCTTCTTTCTTTTGCACCCATTTCTTCTACAGTTCCTAAATTGTGTGATTTTTTAAATTAATATAAAATCTGAAAGAAGTGAGTTGATGCCATTTTCAAAAAAAAAAAAAAAAATAAATAAATAAATAAATAAAAAAAAAAAAAAATAGGGACCTAAACAAGTATGACATTAAATGAAAAAAAAATTATAATCAAACTCACCAGAGAATTAAAGCGAGGTTTAAACCAACACTTAGGGAAAGAGACGATATCACTGTGTACAGAAATGGTTTGGATTGTTTCCTTATATTAGAATCTGGTGCTCTTATTAAGATTGTAATAATACAAACATGTCCGTTTCTAGTCAAAGTCTTAATTTAAAGATAATGTTAACTAATAAATGGTTTACCTTTTCCAAGTGATAAATGCTTAAATTCAAAATATTTAAGTGACAGTCACATATAAATTGAATAAGATGGATACTGTCTTCCCAAAAATTTTTATTAAAATAGAAAATTTGGTGTTATGTCTATTTAAATTTGTGGGAAGACAATACGATTCGCAATGTGATAAAAGAGGATTCCATTGTGGGCATATATATATGTACATTTCACTTTTCATAATACGGATTTGAAATTTTGAGTTGGAAGATTTATTTGCCATTTGCAAATATTCAATAAAGAATTTTCAAGTTGATATCTTATTAGTAAAAATCCTCACCAAATAATTGAGCCTCGCCCTTCTTAGTGTATTTTTAAAACCTGGTGTATTGATTAGGGAAACATATGAAGAAAATATTAAAATGTACTGATGTGTTTGCTGATTACAAAAAAAAAAAAAAAAAAAAAAAAAAAAAAAAAAAAAAAAAAAAAATTATAAAATATTTGGGAAACTTCCTTCCTCATATAAGAAAATGAAATTTGAAGATTTTTCTGTACAAATCTTTCCATTAAATTTCTTCTAAATCAGAGAATGTTTGTTTTTCTTCAGCTATCTAAAAAAAGTACTGTAATGTAGCATATTTAAAGGTAATTTACATAACAGAGTTATACAGCATATTTTGTCTGAGAGTAATTTTTTAAAAATAGTATACAGATTTGTTATTAGACCTTTGTATAGAGGAATGAAATTGCCGTTGTAAGAACCTGCAATACTGTGTTATTTCTTGAGGATATAGTGTCCAAATGATTGATTTCATTTGTTTTGAGAGTTATTGCAATGATTTTTGGAAAAATGTTATTTATAAAGTATCAAAGTATCTACTATTAGACAAAGATTGTTCCTCAGTTGTGGAATTGTAAAACAGATGCTTTGTATTGGATATATATCAATAAAATAAATATATTAATACCACTGCATTGCCCAGATATTGCGTCACATGTCTTCAGAAATGGGCAACTGCTACAGTTTTCCTGACAGTTGTGTCCAAAGTGTCCATCGGGGCATTCTGGAAATAAGATTCCATTATCAAGAGAGATCTATATGTGTAACATCTGTATGTCATAAAACTTTTGTTATCATATTTCATACGTTGTGAAGTGAAACGTGTGTTACCCGGATGTTGTGAACTTCTTATAAGGAAAATTAACATTTCAGTACGACAACATAATCCTATGCAGTATTACATATCTCATGTCAAGGGTACATATTAGTCCAGTCAAATTGTCATAAACCCTAAACAAATTGCAACAGAATTTGTTTCTTTATTTATAATTAGTAAATTGTATTATAATCAACATATAAAAACTCTAGAAAAATATATAAAGGCAAAAGATGTCTTTTTCAGAAATAAATATTTACTCTTCTGATAAAATATGTATTGCAGAAATGTGCTACCATATGAACCAAGGGAGACAATTTTAACCACTGTAAACAAACCACTTTTCTTCTTAAACAAGCATAATAAAATTTATAATTCATTTTGTATACATGGTTAGGTTTAAATTTCACCAATGCACTGAAGATATAAGATCTGAGAATCTTATATATGTCTAAACTTAACGATATAATGTTGAAATCTTAGTATATTACCTGTATCACAATTTTTAAGCATGTAGGAACCTTTCTATCAAAATATGGGTCTATGAATCACAGGAAATTATTTATTAATCATGTATTTCTGTAAAAATTCAATCTTCCAATTAATAACTCATGCACATATATAAATTAGTGTTTACTTCTCTTTTATTAGATATTGGAAACATTAGGGGAAATAATCTATGGAAAGTTGTTAGTGGTATTATTGCAACATAAAAATATTTTATTATCTAAAAGTTACATTTTGGTGTATGACCTTGTTTAAAGATTTTTTTCTTTAGAATGTTGATTAGATTAGTGAGATCTACTTTGCTATTTAAAAAAATTTAGATTTGGGCCATCTTTAAAAAACTGTTTGGTTGCCCTCTCCCAACTGACTGACTCAAAATGGCCTGACTCAAAACTTTTTTTTTTTACATTCCAGGACATCATATTTATTTTATTCCTCTTATGCTGTCAACAAATATGTTGAAATTGCCTAGAAAAAAGATTTTCCCACCTACCTACCGACTTAATAATAATTTTACCCTGATTCAGGAGAGGACAAACAAACAATATTTTAAAGATGGCCTTATTCTTGATTTTTTTTTGGGTGTGTGCATATTAACTATAATGATGCTTATTATGTACCTCAGTATATTTTATTGTAATTTGTAAACATATTTCTTAAACATTATATTTGTGTCACTTTGATTCACATTTCGCTTTTAGTTTGTTCTTAACATAACCCCGGATCCAAGTAGGGTCACATGAGGGATTTAATTTTACAGGAAGTCTTTGAAATAAGCCGCATTGTGGAATTTTTTGTTTTTTTTTAAAACACATCCTATTATGTAATAGATTTGTGCATTTCAGCTTTTCAAAAACTACACAACATTATCGACTTATTTTCCAAGTAGCATCCCAAATTCACCTGCATATTTAAGAAGTTTTTTTAAATACTACTAGCTGAAATCCCGCGCAAGCGCGGGGGATTGAATGTATACCACTACCGACAGAAAATATATAGTAAATTCTACTGACAGCCTACAGGCTTATAGCAGGAAGAAATACTGTTCAAAATCCCGCACGAAGTAGATGTACGTCTCCAGCCCCCCCCCCCCCCCTTTTAGTAAAAACTTGAAAAATAACAAACTTGAAAACCTTTTATACTATGTTATACATGTAGATATTATACTTCAGATGCTCTTATTTCATTTCCGTCATGGATAAAAGCACAGCGAATATGCACATTTTACTGATAAATTGAAGGGGGGGGGGGGTAAAATTCACAGGTACTTGGGTCTTGGTTTATAAATATGTATGTACCTTATTGATATGTAAAAAAAAATATATACTTTACTTTGTTTAGCTTTTAAGCCTTATGAGTAGGCCGAGTTTTTGATACAAAAGAGCATTCAGAAAAAAACTGAAATGTATTGATAAAGCACAAAATTCTACAGCTTTAATTGTATTTGAACAATTTCTTATTCATTAATTTTCTATTTTCATGTAAGCAAGTTTATAACGAAGTACAAATTGTACTTCGGGTTCGTTGCCACGATGCTTTCAGTGAGGAATATATACAAATTTTACCGATAAATTTATTAGGAAAACCTACCACATACTGTATATGTAATAGTCTTTCGATATATATAAATATGTTCACAACTTAAAGTGCTATCAATGATTTACCAGTATTTCAATGACCATTCACACAAAAGCTTTTTTTATGTTCAAGCAGCTAAAATCGCCTCTTTTTTTTAATCGGGCTCGATGCTATAGGATGTTCTAGAAGCTTCCGTCAATATTAAGATCGGTGAATTACGAAAATAATTTGCACATTTCCCTTTGTAATCGGCAATTACATCTTATTTCTTTTATATCATTTAAATTAAGTTTTGATTGAATTATTCAGTGATGACGTTTTATGAAACAAATGAACAATTGCTTGTTGTCAGTTTCATTAAAAATTGCCAGTAACTTAGATCCGCCAACCGGAAACGCCACCGTACTCACGATTTTACTATTTCATGGCTGTTTATAGAAAATGGAAGTATAGTTTTAATTTAATGTATGATACTTACTATGCGAGTGAAATCTAAATATAGTTTACGGACATCATCTTGTATATAGTGTATCCTTAGAGGAGTAAGTAAGAACTCTGGTGCATCCGTTTCGGAGTTTATTTGCAAAATTTATTAATTTATAAGTATAGATTTTCCTATCACGATAAGTGAAATCTATCACTTAAAAGAGCATAGAACATGATCAGATAGGTAATTTAATTGTCATAAAAATGACTCTAAGCCACTAAAAGCAGCGCTAGTGAAGACTGGTTGATTGTAATTTGTTTTACGCCCCGTTCGAGAACTTTTCACTTATAGAGAAACGTCACCATATACCGGCAAAGGGCTTGAAATTTAAACCCTTACTCATTATACATTATATTGAATACAAAAAATAGCAATTCGAATACTATTAAGGTTGACATTTAGGTATTCTGTGGCACCTTCAGTGGATTTTTACGATTTTTCTTTTATTTCTTTAACCTTTCAAATAAAACCAATGGGGAAAAAATCTGACTTTTAAGATTTAGTTCAAGTGTTACGTATCCATAGGTATGACGTGTTTCACATGGATGTCCTATGCATGCATTGCTATAAAGGGAGATACATGTATGTCGGGAAGGGGGGGGGCTCACCCCCCTCCCCCTGAGATTTTCAAGAGTTAAAATGTTCTATGTAAAAGTAACAAAGACATGTCCATGAACCCATTTCCCCAGAACAAATATTAAAATGGCAACAAGTCATGTGCATTATGAACCCATTCCCCAGGACACTTATTTAAAAGGCAAGAAGTCATGTGCATTATGAAAAAAGACCCCCCCCCCCCCGCTCCCCTGAAAAAAGGTTTTCAAGTTTGAGGTAATTACTTTTATTTATTTATTTTTCTTTCTTTTTACTTATTTGTTTATTTATTTATTTATATTTGCTTGTCAGAAAAATTCCGAGACTTGACATCTGTGATATTTGATATGACCCCCCCCCCTTCCTCCCCCGATAAAAATTCCTGACATGTGTCATGTGTGTGCTTAATTGTCCACTAAATATATATATATATTTTTAAATTATCTTAACTAATAAAACTTGTCATTCCTACTATGGCTACACATTCTTTGTCCCTGCACAAAGACATACTGAGGAATTGTAAAAATTTTATTTTCAATTATGTCCGTTGCCATGGGAACAGGAATCCATAGCAATTAATGAACTAATTACCAGTTTCAGTTTGCAGATGCATTTCTGCATGACCTACCAAGAAAATTCAAGATCATATAGATGGCAAAACTTTTTTTTATGCATATATAGAATGTCTTTTTTAACAGTGACTTATCGGCATTTTTGAACAAAATCGTTTTTTTTTTTTTTTTTTGAAAACTGAAAAAAATGATGTTTTGACAAATATATTCTTCTAGAGTTTTGATATATCAAAAGGCACATTATAAATAACAAAATTCTACTGGAATAATTTCTGTTGCAATTTGTTTAAGGTTAGGGTGTTTTAGGGCTAGATTGACTGGACTATATCCTTTACAATTATTATCTTAATTTTTAAAATTGGCAAGAAACCAAAGAAACCAATGGGAATTGTTATAATTTATCAGCCAAGAGTATATCTAAGCCGTACCAATAATTATTTGTGAATTAAATTTTTTGTTATGAAACAAAATTAAAATAAGTCCAAAAGTCAAACCTCATTTTCAAATTATATTTTGTTGCCTCGTTGCAATTTGTGCAAAAAACCACGTGCGTTAAAAAATTGCGCGAAGGTGTATTATTTTGCTTCTTTTCTGAGATACTTAAAGGTGCTTTATGGAATTTGATCTCGTGACCAACCCGTATTTATATCCCGATAGATGTTTAAAAATGATACCTTATTTCTTAAATATCTACTCAAATTTTCTGTATAATTTTATGACTTATACATGTGTATGTTGCTATAGAATTTCATACGAAAATTTGATAAAAATTTTATTTTATCTTGGAAGTTTTTGAAACTTCGAATTTCTGGACGCGTTTGATAGACACATCCTTGCACTTTCACAAATTTTAACTTTATCCTTATTACTTTAGAAAAGTAGCAATTTTGTTGTTTATTAATGAAAAAATATTAAAACTATAATGCAGAAATTTCAGAGTAGAAATGTACACTGTAGAAAGCAAAATCCTCTCACCAGTATTGTCTGTCCGTGCTCAGTGGTGTGTGCAGAGTTTAACAATTGAACACAAACGGTGAAACGTAAACATTAAGAACAACAGAGCTCGTGCCCTGTTTACAAAAATAGTTCACATTTCACGAGTGTATTCAATTTGTTAAACTCTGTACACAACTACACAACAATGGGCACGAACTGACAATACTTAAGTGAGTAGGTTTTGCTTTTGCATATTTTTACCCTGAATTTTCTGGATTATAGATGTAATATTATTCATTAATACACAAAAAAATTGCTACTTTTCTTAAGTATTAAGGATAAAGTTAAAAATTGTGAAAGTGCAAGGGTGTGTTAATGAAACGCCTTCCGAAATTCTTAGTTTCAATAATTTCCAGATTAAATAAGTTTTTAATTTTATTTTAGTGTGAAATGCTATAGCAACATGTAAGTTGTTATATTATACAGAAAATTTGAGAAAATATAAACTTCAAATCTGTATCTATGCACCTTTAAATAATACTTCTCTGACCTTTTTATTGTCTCAGTTACCTTGAAAATGTTAATTAAATTTAAAGAAAACAATAGTATGTATCTTAGACTGTCTACGTTTGCGTACAAATTACTTTTGTATAATTGACAAATAAGACAAGCATTATGAGGATATTGCATTAGCAATACTAGTCCACTACCGTCAAGTTAAACTGGTTCCCGATAAAATTGAAAATGCCATAGTTCCGTCAAAAATCATTTAAGCGGAAAAATGCAAACTTAATCTAAAAAAAAAAAAAACAAGCTCAACATCTGCCAAAATCCGTCAAAATTATTGAAGCGAAACGAAATGCAATCATAAGCTGTAACTTATCAAGATACATTTACATCTCAAAGATAAGTTCAATATCTGAAAGCGTTTAGAAAAAAAGACGGAAAACCAAGTGGGACAGACTGACAAACAAACAGAGGAACGGCTAGACGTTCGGACGGACAGACAGACGGACGAACATACGCAGAGGAAACCTATAGTCCCCTCCGGCTTCACCGGTAGGGGACTAAAAATATGCATATACACATCTGTACAGCACTGTGTCCAACTCAAAATATTCTACGGTATTCACAACCGTAAATCATGTTGTGTAAGCATTAAGAAATATCTGATGCTAATTTTTTTAACATTTCCTAAAAAGTATTTGTAGAATGATAAAGTCGTTTTCTTACGTGAATGACCTTTATTAGTATGTTACCTTGTGTACAAGTGTCTCCTTGGTAACCTCTATCGCAGCCATTCAAACATGTCCCGTTTATGTGATGACAATGTTCTCTATCAAGACAAACCCCGCATGACTGAGCACAGTTTAGTCCAAATGTACCTCTGTCACATTCTAAAGAAATGAAATTTTTTTCAGACCAATTCTTAGGCTAATATGTTTGTAAATTTGCAAATATTGTGCCTTCTTTCGTGAAATTTACATGTCTAGTATTTTTTCGATATAGTGCATTATTCTGTTATTGTGAAACGCTCAGAATTTATGATTGGTACAAAAAAAGCTTAGAAAAAAACACACACAAAAATGAGTATTTTGTTAAAAAAGGTTTTAGTGAATAAATGGTCCAAATATATTTTAAGTACATGTATTAAATCATATTGTGCATTTCTTACTTCAACTTCAATGATTTTGATTTTTCGTTTTTCAATTAAAAAAGCTCATTTTTTTATAGATATATGTAATATAGAGAACAATTTATTACTCTTGTCACATCTCATTTCCTTCCACCCTGCCTGACACCCATTATAACATTGTCCTGTTTTTCTGTCACATCTTTTCCACTCTCTACAGTTGATGTTACACATATCTAAGCAGTTGTATCCATATTGTCCTTCAGGGCATACTAAGATAAAAATGAAAAGAGGCTTTAAAAAGGTTAATGAAGTATATTTATTTTTGCTAAGCAAGTTTTCATGAATTTTTTTTAGTTTGTTTCCCCTTTTTTAATATCATTAATTGCCCGAATACTTATTAAGAATTTTAAATTATTTTAATGGGAATATGTTAGCTGATGGACATGAAAGAGGCAATACTGAATTTTACTCTAGATTATTATTAGTTTACCTTGTGTGCAATTGTCTCCTTGGTAACCTCTATCGCAGCCATTTAAGCATGTCCCATTTAAGTGATGACATTGTTCTTTTCTTAAGCAAAACCCGCATGACTGATCACAGTTTAAACCGAATTTACCACTGTCACAAACTGTAAGTAGAATGTGAGTTCAATACACTGCCTATATATTACTTGCATTACAATTCTTTTAATGAAAAACAAGAGGAATAACTGTGCTTGACTGTCCTACAATAAATGCTCCTGGAATTTTTCCGTAAAGAGAATATTGATATTGTATGATAAATAAATTTATTATATTCCCATCAATTTCCTGGTTTTTGTTACTGTTAATTTACAGAGTTTGATCCGATTTTCCAGATCACCACACTGTGGTTTTCTGAATCCATATCACTGCTCTCTGAAACTGATGACATAGTACACAGAACACATATATTCCTGCGCGAACTTCATTTGTCCTTGAAACACTAAACGGAAATAAATGAACTGAATGTAAAAAAAACCCTGTCAATACACTACAATGACTTTATCATTTTCACTACAGAATTCCGATTCAATAAAAAAAAAAAATATATTTAAATGATTATTTTTTACCTATATGAATTAAGGAAATTTATAAAAATAAAAAAAAGTAAAATAAAAACATAAAAATCGTCGTCTGCATGCTCATTGACTATAGTAAGCTACCCAGTCTCCAGCAGATATCAAAATGGTAAATTTAGATGATTTAAGTACTATCAACACCAATGATATGTGTCCTGGTAATTTTGATCTGCTGGATAACACCTCCGAATCAGAATTACAGGAAATTTACCAATTATTTGACACTAAACCATCAAACTTTTAGGACATACCAATGCCCCCTGCAGATGAAGACAAATTAAGTGGAAGTCCCTTGGAAAATTAATCAAAAAAAAAAAATCCCAACGTTTATTGAAATAAATGGACAGATAAAAAAGGAATTTGTACAACAAATGAAAAATAAAAACACAGCAAGAAAGACGGATTCAGCTGTAAAACAGTTCAAAGCAAGGCTTCAGCAATATCCAAAGAAGGAAATCCGTGACATCAATAGGTTTGATCCTAACGGGCTGGATATTTACTTCAGCTCTTTTCTTCTCTCCATCCGAAAGGTAGTTGGTTCAGACTATGAGCCTGATACCTTGACCAGTTATCAGAGATCCATTTGGTATCTAATAAGGAATTTACGACAAGTAGAACTGTTCTTCTATCAAAACGAAAGGAATTAAAACAAACGGGCGGGTGAAATAAACCAAATACAGCAGAACCACTTACAAAAGGTGAAGAAAAATGCTACAAGAGAAGGGCTACATTGGTTTAAACACTAATGGCATTTTTAAACAAATGTGGTTACGGAACACCATGATGTTCGGAGTTAGAGAAGGGGGGGGGGGCAGAAAATCATACACTTAGGAGGTCTGATACCCAGCTCTTATAGGGTGGAAATGGAAGGGGGTATCTGGAATTAGGAGAATTTGAAACAAAAAACAAGAACTGGTGAAAAAACTCATCTTAGAGCTTTTCGTCCGAAACAGCATTCAAATCCAGAAGATCCTATGAGCTGCCCGGTAGCTTTGTATAAGGCTTTTAGAGACCATAGGTCGCCCTCTACCATGACTGAAAGTCCGTTTAATATTTAAATTAACCACAAACGATCTCATGGATCTCCAATTTGGTATAAAAACCAGCCTCTTGGCGAAAATACACATCGCTCAATCATGCGGGAAATGGTAAAACGTGCTAATTTACATGTACAACATGTACAAAATTGCTGCATGCTGGTATAGCCCCTACCACAATTCAGCAATTATCTCGTCACAAAAATCCAAAGTATCCACAATTACACCACTGCCTTAATCGAAATGCAAAAACAAAACCATAAGTGACATTCTAGCAAATAAAGAAAACACTCCAAATGCAGGAAACATGTCGTCTGTCCTGTTTCGACTAACCAGCTACTTTCAATTTCGCCATCCGCCATTTCCAGAACTTCAATGTCGACAATCTCAGCAAAGACATCAACCCTTCAGTTAATATCCGCTAGAGAATTATTTTCAAACGCAAGAATGATAAACAGCACCATCGATCTCAACAATTGTGATTCACAACCTCAGACCCCCCCCCCCCCCCAAAAAAAAAAAAAAAAAAAAAAAAAAAAACTAGATGCTGTCATGAGACAGTAATACCCGCACTAAGGTGTTTGCCTCTAAATGCACACTCCTTCATATTGGGCTTACCAAGGAAAAAGTCCAAATAATTCTATAATTTACACAGTACATGTATTCGTCAAATCGAGCATAAAATGCTCAGGTGACCATGTGACCCATGAACCTCTTATACGCATTTCATATACTTAATTCATTACCAGTCTGAAATATCAGAATTTAATTAATGTTGTAAATTAGGTTTTAATAAAAAGGGGGGGGATATAAATTTTTGGCCCATAATTGGAACTTTTTAAATTAAATTTATCTTCTCAACAACAAATAATATTATTTTAGTACAAAGCGTTTTTGATGAATTTATCAAAATGTGCAAACTTTTTTTAGTATTTGATTAGGCAAAAACCTCCTTGAAAAGCCATACCCAATCAATTTATATGTGTCCCCCCCCCCCCCCCCAAATACACACACACACAATTTGCCTGTTTTTGGAAATAGGCCTAGATGGCAAAGTTATGTTAAAACATCGTTTGTTATGATAATTTAAAATTTGTTCTTGTACTGTACATGTATGTGAACACCTTTTTGAAAATTTCTACATCACATTGGGCTTGCGTCACCCTACCAGTACTAGTACTAGTTTTACCATTATCATTTTTAGATTGCACATGCCATGTGACATGGTGCAGTGTTACATGTATATCAGTGGAAATTAATTCATTTTGTGTTTTAATTGGATTATATTTCATGAAGTTGACAGGACCTATGACAGTCGGTAAGTACAAGTTTAAGTATAGATTGGGGTAAAATAAACCAAAATGCAAATGGTTAGGTTAAAGTTTAAAAAGGATCAAAGATCATCGGCAATCTCCTATGCAGAGTTGTCGTTCGTTTCTCTCTCAGACACTGAATGTATGAGCCGATCGTAGAGAGTGGATCATCGATGCCACAATAGACGAATTTCACATTCTGAAGAGTTATCTCCCGTTGTCGACATTACATTCAGTTACAGGCATAGATCCGGGAATTTTTTTCCGGGGGGGAGGGGGGTCCACACCTCGGTCCAAAAAAATTCCAGCCCAGAATTTCCTGAGGAGCAAAATAAAAAAAAAAAACAAACAAACAAACAAAATAAAAACAATGATGGTGGGGTCCATGTTTTTAAAGGGGGAGGGCATCCAAAGTCATTTTTTATTTGCTTCTGTAAATCAGTATATAGTCCTATTTAAATAACTCTGCAAATTCCAGGGGGGGGGGGGGTTCCAATCTCCCTAGCCGCTCCCTGTCCCTGAAATGACAAATGATCATGCGACTCCTAAATAGTAGAAAATTTTTCCATTTGACTAGACATAATTTTGTTTCTTGTGTTATTATGTTATGTACATCTAATGGTTTAAGGTTATGAACCCTTGAGGTCATCCCCACTCTCTTGTTCATAATATGACTACATCAAATTAAATAGAAGTGCATCAATGATAAGATTACTTGACATTTCATTCATGAATTTGGGTCAACCTAGAATTAGGAATGAAAATCATTCAAAGAGATGGACCATTAAACTATTTGTATGTATTCACATTTTTTTTATGTCAAACCAAAGTATTAGACTAGTTTGCATACATGAACAAACTGGGGTCTGGGAAGGGGAAGGGGCAAGGGGAAGGAGTTATCTCTTTACGTCTTAATTAATTGTTGAAAATTCCTAAAATGAATGTTAACCTTAAATCCGACTTGTACGTCTTCATTATTTTTAAGTGGTGGTGTCTCCGTATGAGTGAAAAATTCCCAAGAGGGACATTTAACAACAAACAAACATTAATGACTTAAAAAACACAATATACATGTACATGTTTATTAGTCAATGGATATACTTCTGATCATATCTCTAGTTCTCCCTTGAATCAGAAATGATGATATAAATATTTTAAGAATGATTAAGAGTTGAAAAGGTTGTGCATTTTAAAATTCACTAAGCTCTGTGGTTGAATTAGCTATACCAGTTTAGCTTATTTTGCTACTCAAAGCACCTTGATTAACTATTTTTAATCATACTGTTTTCTGAAATGTGAAGTTTTTTCAACATGGATACAAGTCATACCTTTTCAGCTTCTGAAAACAATTAATGCATGAAAAAAAAACTGCTTTTCAAATACTGTAACTCTTTCCAAGTACTTGTGATCATCAGTTTTTAGCTCACTTGAGTTTTTCTGGTTTTCTGATCACATTTTGTTTGTCATTCATCTGTCCGCCTGTAAACTTTTCACATTTTTGTCTTCTTCACTAGAACCGCCGGGCCAATTTCAACCAACCCAGCCACAAAGCATCTTTGGGTAAAGGGGATTCAAGTTTGTTCAAGTGAAGGGTCACACCCTCTTTCAAGGGGGGATAATCAAGAATTAGTGAAAATTTGGTGGTATCATTTTAAAAAAGTCTTATCAAGAACCACTGACTGGGCCCAAAAAGTTGAAACTTTCTTTACATAGACAGTGTAGCTTCAAATTTGTTAAAATTATGACCCACTGGGGTAGGATGGGGCCACATATGGGGATCCAATGATTTACATAGAAAAATGCAGGGGATTTTTTCCATCATAAATCTTCTTCTCATGAATAGCAAGGGCATTATTGTCGTCCGTTTTCACAAAAGGGACCTAGGGGACATTAAATCTCATT